TTAGGAACAAAAAGAATACCAACAGTGGTCTTGGTCTATTAGAAGATAGGAATGATCAATAAATGAAGAAAGACTACTTATTGAATACACATTTTTTTATGTATTTGGGGATAAACAGATTACATAATTTCATCATACAGCAAAGATAATACTCTTCTCAGGCCACTGGTATATCTCTGGAGGATATCAGAAGTCTAACCTACTAACTTCTTTTAAAGTCAGCAGGTCAAAATAACATGCACACAAGAATTTTAAATGATTTGGTTGAGGAGCTTGTAGGACCATTAATGTTAATTTTCAATAAGTCTTAAAGCGCTGGGGAAGTTTCAGAAGACTGGAAGCAAGTTAATGTTGTACCAGTTTTTAAAAGGATAAACAGGATGACTCAAGTAATTACTGGCCTGTCAGTGTGACATCAATCACCTGATAATGGAGTAGATCTTATAGGACTTGATTAATAAAAACATACAGGAGGTTAATGTTGTTAATGCATATCAACCTGGGTTTATGGAACATACATTCTGTCAAACAACTTGACTTTTTTTTTTTATATGATTACAAGTTTGGTTTATAAAGGCAATAGTATTAACATACCATACTTCTGTAAAGCTTTTGATTGAAAAAGTAGAATATAAAAAACAGCATGGCACATGTTAAAAGGATTAAAAATTGACTAAGTAACAGATTTCAAAACATAACTGTGGGGTCTCACAGAGATCAGCTCTTGGCCCTACACTCATTAACATTGTCATCAATGTCCAGGCTCTCTGACAAACGTGACTCATTTAACTGTAGACTCTTGACAAAAATGTAGTTTTCTGCAGTTGAAATACATGTTCTGATGCTGAATTAAATGACTTATATTCAGACTTGATACATAAATTGCAAAACAGAAAAATGGCACTAACAGTACCCCCAGAGCCTTACAATAGGCATTTACTGTGTGACTATGCCACAAACTGTCTTAAAGAAACACAATTTGGACAGTCTAGAAATACAATAATTAAATACTAGAATTAACACTTTGCATCAGAAAACTCTGCATCGGAGTGTCACAATATTAAAGAGTTTAGAATGTTAGGTTTCCTTCACCTTTTTGTCTGAGGTGATCCCACATCCCATCGTTCTAGCATTTCACTCTGCTCTGATAATTCTATGAAGGCTTCAAAGAATAGCAAATTCCCAGAAGTGCCATCACTTCAGATATGCTTGCCATGCCCTCCTCCAAAGGGCTAAACCATTTATATTTATCTTCTTAGCACTAGGGACATCAAATCCCCTCCTCTGATGTTGACATAGCATCAGAGTCATTTAAAGTCAAAGGCCACACCTTTAATAACTCCTAATCAGTTACTAAAAACATTGATTTGCCCACAAAAATGCATGCTGAGTTAAACACACACATGTGTACTGGCGTCAGTGGAGTTTCACACATGTAATTCGCAGCAGAATTAGACCCACTGAGTTTAAGTTTATGTAACTCACACAGCAAAAGGCCACATGGGAAAAAGCACTAATTGGAGGGTGTCAATTCAAGGAGCTCCTCCTGCACTTTCATATTTTAAACAGTCTTCCAGTCCCTCAGTATGCAAATTACATTAAGTTAGCCTCTTTAAAAGGATAGCTGGGGCCCCATTGGAGCTTAGCTGAAGGTGGATTGACTCAACACACATCCTTGACACTCTGACCACACTCCTTATTGCCAAGTGCTGTCTACTTTCACAGCTGCAGTTAGGAGATGAGAGTTTCAAGAGTCTTGTGGCCCCGTGACTTCACTTTGTGCAGCCTGTTCACTACTGAGGGCTGAGAAGCAACAAGTGGAAACCAAGGAGCACAGTGAGCCTCTAACAGCAACTTAGGCTCCATTTCATCCACTAATAAATATATGAAATGTATACCACCTTACTTTAGATTAGGGCTACAGGCTTAGCCCCAGCAACTCAAACACCGTGTTGGATCCTGACAATAATCTATTTGAACCAAACCAGAAACTCAAAGAAAACACTACCTTCAGCTATCTTGATTTTTTTAAATTACTATTTAAACCACCTATCCACACAAATAGCAGGGTCTTTAGGAGTTATCCCATGAACAAAATTGCCACTGCTCAGAGCCTTTAACTTAGTGAGATTGACCATCTGAGCCAGCACTTGGCTTCTCATCTGTATAAATTTTAAAATCTTAGCAAAGACGTTATCCTTCCAGAAACCAACTCTACACAAGGTCACAGTCTCAGTGGTGTTTTATTTGTTATTAAATCAGGAGGGCTTCCAAAGGCATTGGCGTTTCCTAATGTTCTGCAGCATTTTTGACAGGTGAGAGCACATAGTGTTCTCATGGAAAGCAGAGTTCGAATAATTTAGGACTGAAGTTCAAATAATCTACAAATGAATACTTTCTACCAAAGAAAAAAAGAATGACAAAAAAGGAAGCACTGTCCATGATACAGAAAGTAATTATAGTTGAAGACATGAACTAGATAGCTACATCTACAATGCAAGTTGTGCTGGCAGCGAGTATGCAAATGAAGTGCAGATTAGCATATCACCGTGCCTCATTTACATAATTTATGCACGGTAGTTTTGCGCAAACGGTTTTGGTGGAAAAAAAGTAGCATGGATGTTTTCTTTTTGCGCAAAAATTACTTTTCCCGCAAGCATGGTAAACCTCTTTTTTTGAGGCAGAAGGATCTTGCGGGAAAAGGGGGTTTTTGTTGCAAAAAGAAAACGTTCACACTGCTTGGTTTTGCACAAAAACCCTTGTGAAAAAACGGATCGGCAGAAAATATGCAAATGAGATCACGACTCACGGAAATGAGTCTCTCATCAGCATATTTTTTGCCGAGAAAACTCATAGTGTAGATGTAGCCTATATGTTTGCTGGCAACAACTGAAATGCCAACTTTGCTTTTTGCCATAACCTCATGGACCTTATTATTTCTAGAGTATCAGTGCCTATAGCAGGGTTACTCAATTTTGGAAGCCCCGGGGGCCACAATGATACTCACAGCACATGCTGAGGGCCACAACTTACGTGTGGTTGCATGTACATGCAAATATATATGCAAATAGCTTCTTTCACACTAACAGGCACGAATACAAAGATTAAGGCAAGATTACACAACACACAGGTCCCATTTAAGTCAGTTCTGCTGGTATTAATAAAATGCAATATTCACCCGATTTCCACCTATATGACAGCACTTTTAATGAGCAATGACAGTCCAGGAATTTAACTACTAAAACACATATCAACAGAAGACCATTATACTGACTACTTTTTTGTTTTGGCTCCCACCTGTGGTCTGCAAACAAATGGGCTGCATGCGACCCATGGGCCACGTGTTGAGTAGCCCTGGCCTTCAGTATCCTAAATGCTTTTCAAAACACAACTGCTATCCTGTGCTGGCTGGCACTGTGCAAACTGCCCCCATTAATGTGCTGCAGGGACTGGAGATAAGTCAGGACTTCCCAAGGGTAGAGCCAATGCCTAGAACATCAGGGACTTCCTCAACAAAACCTGAGAGCAGCAGAGCAGTGGGCCCAGTCTAAATTCTTAAAGGAATTAAAATTCTTCTTTTGCTCTGAGCTGGTCAAGGAAAGGCCTTTCTTTGCATCAGCTGAGGTGGTGGCATACTTTCTTCTGTCCCTCTCCCGGATCCTCCTGCAGGTTCTGCAACTGTTTCAAGATGTTTCCTACATTTTAGTTTTTCGGCATTTTTTCCCCCAAAATTGGAATTTTTAAATATTTTTTACTCCACATTACATGTAAAAGCCAAAATTTCTGAGGCGCCTGTCCTGAGCGTTCTCTTTGCTCATTGTTTAATTTCACTGTGCTCCTGATAGTTATTCCAGTATTAGGATGTGATTAGTTTATTCATAGTATATTCTGTTGAATAAGAACCTTAAACTTCACAAATGGAATCAGGTCAAAATTAGCCAAATAAATGATAACTTCAGAATGAAATAAACAAGCATTAATGTTTGCAGGCTGGTAGATTTCAATCTTTTTGCTAGATCTAGTACCCAATTCTGATTAAACTATAGTATAACGAAAGGGTTTTGAATAAACTGAAGTTTCTTAATTATTCATCTCACTTTTGACATCATGAAAGCTAAAAATAGTACAACACTACAAAATTAAGAATACGTAAGAAACGTATTTGAGACCAAATTTTATTGTTATGCTGGTATAGAACTGAAATACTCAGTTTGCTCTAATGATGATACACCACTGTAAATAAGAGCAAAATTTGACCCACTGCAAACAAAACATCAACTTCTTTGGTCTGAAAAAACATTCTTGAAGCAATTCTCCCCCCAGCCCCCGTGCCCATCCCATCTCTCCAATTTTCTGGCAGAGTCAACTAATTTAAAAAAATCACATAGCTCTGCTACTCAGTGACATTCAGCAAGGGGAGGTGGAAGCTTCTTAGATTTAACAAAAAATCTGATTTGTTATGCTCATTTGATCTGCAATTGTGCTGTACTGTGGTCTCATGAGATGAGCAAAGTTAATATTTAAAAGATCTCCAGGGAAACCTGGTGCTGGAGAAAGTACTGCTGGTGATCAGTAGATGTCACTGTTTCCTCTGAGTCGGCAGTGATCTAATGCCCCAACCTGGTTGAGGAGGAGGTACTGTACAATGAAACATTAAAAAGCCTTAAGATTCTTACCATGTCATCATTAGAGATTTCATTCTTTCTTTTAGCCCTTTCAAATTCCAATTGAAGTAATTACATTATGCCTATACACTTTTCCCCTGAAATTTCAGCTGAGTTCGGTATTCAGGCAAAAGTCTGCTCTGTTACATCTTCCATTCCTAGTGCTGCTATGCTGTCTTAAAAATAGTCGGTGGCTGTATTTCAGTGTAGTGTAAAATGATTTCTACATATGTAATTGGTGAATCGGTTGGAATATGCATTGGGATATCCTGAATAAAAGGCACTACATCAAATCAGTATAATGTGAGGAAAAAAACATGAAAAAGACTCTCTCACCTCCCATCAAACCTGTGCTTCAGGAAATCAAAGAGGGCTTTCTGCATCATGTCTGTTACCTTTGCAGTGGTGAGGAAGATAGAACAAAGGGGATTGACAGGGAGAGAAAGAAGTCAGAAGTAAGAAAAGGAGGTGGAAGATAAGGACATTTCTAATAATCAACGTCCTTTACATAAAAAGTAATCATTTAATTGCAGTGTTATCAATGAGTTCTCATTCAAACACATCTGGCAGCTGCAATTTATTTTTATACAGATGGAATAAACTACTTCATAATAAATGTTTGCAAGCCTTCTGAAACGTACTCCAAAGTGCTCAAATCCAGGAGTGTTCTAACAGCAATGGTCAACATCTTCACACTGAGATCTATGGGCAGAAAATGGATCTTGAGCCTAGTGCCATACATAAGCAGAATCCTGAGATTTTGCTAAGCATCTGCAATCCCCATTGATTTGTTAGGTGAACTTTGGCCCTTTCAGAGTAATTCAGATTTCTACTCATTATCTGCAAATCTAGATTGTAACAAATTCAATACTCTGTGTTTCTTGACGTTTGTTTCTCATAAATTATATTTTTCAAATGCCTTTTGCACACTTTCACCAGAAAAAAGTGTGCAAAAAAACCTTTCCCATATAGATTACAAAGGGATTGCAAACATCTCTTTCTCTCTTTCTAACTGAAGGAAACAATCCTAATTCCATCACCATTTAACTAGATATTTATTTATGCACTTAAATGCTATTTTATTTCCGAGGAGTCTTTTTTTTATATATATATGGGAGATTCTCGGTGTATAATTTGTAGCACGTTGTGGATTTAAACCAACAATCAAAACACCTCACAAATTTGAGAGTCCTTAGGCCAAATTTATTTAAACTGCAGCACCACTGAGGTCAATACAGTTGTGCCAAGGATGAATTTTTAACTCCTTGAGGGGAAGATACCAGGTAATTAAAAGATAAATATTATAACATGAGATATAGTAGAGCCTCTCTAATTCTCACTTCGGTAATCTGCAAATCTCAAAATTCTCACCTCTCTCCCCCCCCTCCCAAAAAAAGAGATTTAAGAGCAGAGTGCTGCACTAATAATAGCACTATGCTATCATATTACTAATACAAATATGAACGTCTCAGGTCCAGGACTCTCTGGTCCAGCAACCTGCAGACCACAGATGTTGCTGGACCACATAGCCTTTATACCAGAGAACTCCAGCAGCAGAGGTTGCTTGTGGCTGGAACTAGAGCTGGTCCATGAGGCCAGTGCCCTGGCTTATAGGCCAGCAGCCCGGCTTATAGGCCAGCAGCCCGTGGGGCTGTGGCCAGAAGCAAAGTCCTGCCAGCAGTTTTGGGGCAGGGAGACTGGCTGGGGGCAGACGTGGAGCCAGGCGGGCAAGCTGGCAGACTGCAAGAACGGCAGTTTGGGGTAGGGAGCCCATCCAGCAGGCCAGCAACCCTCAGGGCTTGCATGTGGGAGCAGGGAGATGTCCGGTGGGCCAGCAGCCTGCGGAGTCAGTGTCGGAGAGTAGAGCTCAGCCAATGGGCCAGCAGCCCATAGAGCTGGCGTCCTGGAAAATGGAGTTGATTCAGCAGGCTGGCAGACCAGGCTGCCAGCAATAGGCGTGCCCAGCATATTTCATTAGGGTGTATACCCAAAGAATTTTTTAAAAATGTATTCTTTGACCCCCATTAGCCACACCCCTGACCCCCATTAGCCACACCCTCTTGCCCCCATTAGCCACGCTCTGGAGGTAACACTTTTGGGGCAATATGGACATATGACCAGAAATAAAAGGTGTCATGTGACCCCCCCCCCCAAGGACTTTTCCCACCATCCTCTTACCAATAGGGATTAGTTTGGCCCTCACCAAACCCCCCTCATGTAACTATCCTGCAATTGCATTAACCCAATGTGTGTGACATTAACTCAGGGGTACAGGGGGCAGAGAGGCTGGGGGAAGTGTTCCCTCTAAGAGTTTCCTCCCATGAGCACAATAAATTTTGTGTTGTGCACCAGTACTGAGTTTGTGGCTTGTTTGGATGTGCCACTGTGCACCCAAGTTATTAATAAATATCTTATGAACCTTTACCTTTTCCTTCTGCTGCTCTGTCTCCTCCACTTGCTCCATCAGCTCCCCTGGTGCCTGCTGCCTCCCCAACCCCTCACCCTCCTCTGCTGACCTGACTCCTGCACTTCTCATTGCCCTCAGCCTTCCTGAGACCTGCCCCTCTCCACTAGCCCTTCTCCCCCCCGCCCCCCGTGCCCACTCCTCCAGTAGCCCCACTCTGATTATGTGAGCTACCCCTCCTCATCCCCTCTCCTAACACCTCCCTCTACACACCTGCCCTGCCTCTCTCCTCTGGCGCTGGTCCCTCCCCTCCAGGAGTCTGCCCTTCTGCTTCACCCCCCGGAATTCCCTGGCACTTGCACCTTCCCTTACCCCTGCACCCTCCTGGTGCCTCTCCCTTCCCTCACTGCCCCCTCCCCCTTTGCCCTCTTTTCCCCTGATGCCCACCCCCTCATCACCCTCTGCCCCCGTTCCCTTCGTGCCCCTGTAACCTCACTCGTGCCTTGCTTCATCCCAACCTTCCACATGCCCACTCCTTTTTTCAAGCCTTCTCTCAGCACCTCCCATTCTCCCCTCTAGCCCCCAAAGCCCTTCCCCTCTCCTCTCCTTGCATCATCCTGTCCCCCCTCTCACTGACACCTCCCCTCCTGCCCTTTTCCTCATTGTCTCCACTTGGCCCCCTGGCATTTGTCTCTCTCCTACACCCTGTCCCTTGGTGCCTTCCCCTTTCTTCTCCTGACCTGCCCCCCTCCCCTCAGCACAAGTCCCTTACTCTCTGACCCTCACCCCCTATTTTTCTCTCCTCTTCCAGCAGCCGCCAGCTGGTCTGTAACAGAGTTCTAGGGTCACCCTTACTGTCACCCTTCTGGTGCTCCCCCTACTCTGTCTTTCTTAGGTTTCTCAGCCCCCTTCTGGGCCACAAACCTCCACCCCGCAGTCTCTGGTTCCCAAAGTTACGGCAGTCCTCATCATTTGGTGCCTGCACCGGGTCTGACTCATAGGGTTGCCAGATAGACCCTCCCCAAAAAAATGGACACATTTGATCGTGGGCGGAGAGGGGGAGGAGCGGAGAGGGACTGGCTGGGGGGCAGGGACTGGCCGGGAGGAAGAGGGGATGGGAAGCAGCTTTT